TGTGTGTGTGAGTGTGGGGCAGGAACGCTGGAGACAACATTTCTTGTATATTTATAATAATTTTGGGGATGACATCTTCATGTATTGAACCTATGTCGGTTTGGCTTCTCACGTGTGAACTCTCATGTGAATGTTCATTGATGTATGCGAGGTGGAACTTGACGAGTACTTGGTTCATTTTTTCAGAATGCTCCTGGGAATCTGAGAAGAATGAAAATGAGAGTCTGCATCCTGAAAAGATGGACTTATTTATATCCTGGTGTCTTCTGGCAAATTTTGGGGATTCAGGTCTAAGAGAAGCAAATCAGGAAGAGGCGATGTTGAGTTCCTTGTCTCTGTTTCCTTATTATTACATAGAAACAGGGCCTTACGCTGCTTCCGAGGTGGTTTAAAAAAAAAAGAAAAAGAAAAAAAAAAGAAACAGGGCCTTATGTTACAGGCTCTGCTCAATTCTGGGGGGCAGAAGCCCAACTCCTTTTGCATGGGCAAGTCAGCAAATTTACTTGAGTACCCACCAAACGCTTCCCCTCATTACGGCCAGATGAACCTCCAGGAGCATTATTTCTCCGATGTGGGAGGGTTGACTGCTGGAAGCACCCATGCATGGGGTTGAGTCCCCTCGCCAGTGAAGTTTTTTTGTTTTTTTTCTTTTCTATTTATGTCTGCCGTCCTTGCGCAGGGACCACGTTAATGTTCTCTGTGTATTGCTCCAATTTTAACGGATGTCTCGAGGGACGGATGCATCCTTATTTGATTTTCCAGCTCTTCCACTCTGCTCTCATTCCGTCTCCATGACCTCTCTGGTAGTGAATAAATACATTTTCTAGGGCCATGGGAGTGTTGCCCAAGGTAATTACTAACTTGACTTCTCTCATCCAGACCATGGGTTTGCTTAACCCACAGTCAAAGAAGCGACGTGAGAGGGGCATGGTGCGTCTTGTGTAAGCAGTCCTAGCTTGAAGGGGGGGCTGTTCTCAAATGGTGAATCTGTGATAGAAATCCAGATTTCACGTTCTCATACCTTAGTCGACCTTGGACCT